CCGAACTTCAAGCTCACCTCTGTTGCTTAAACAGAGCCCACACTCTTTTAAATACTAACTTTGTCTCTCTTTTGTTATTATCCTTCAATCCTGGCATGCCTTTAAGGTCTCTTCCCATTGTTCTACTTATTCCCTTATCACTGCCTAATCACTTTTTTATGTGGAATTATATTCTTTGAATGGCTGTCTGATTTCTTTCTCCTTACTGGGCTCAGGCTGGCAGGATCATCAGCCTCTTTAGAACTGATTACACCTAGCGTTGTTTGTTTAATCTGACACATAGACAGCTTGCTTCTTCTTTCTTTTTCCTACTTTTTTTTTTCAGGTTGCTTCTTATAGAGTTGTGAGCTTACCCTTTTTCTCATTGCCACAGGTCCCCTTTGCCAATGTGATGTTGAATGGGGCTTATAGTATTTTTGTGACCCTAGACTTTGTCTTTCCAAGCAAGAAATTACTAGTTGAGTCATGTGTTTGGGAAGCAAGGGAGAAACCATAACTTGCCAGTTAGAACTGGTAAACCCTACTGTCAAATGCTGGCCTTGAGTCCTGACTTCACCTTAGTGTTTTCTGAGCTTAGGCAACCTACCATTTCTCTATTTTAGTTTTCTTATTGATAAAATGGGAGTAATAATGCCTCCCATATAAGATTGTTGTGCAGATTAAGTGAATTGATACATGTAAAATGCTTGGACCAGTGCCCAGCATGGTAGGCACTAAGTGGATTTCCAGCTACCATCACCATCATCACCACCATCACCATCACCAGTGCCATGGCGGTCAGTTCTGTGAGCTCTGCTTCCTGCTGAAGATCTTTGTGTCTGTGGCTACTTTCACTATGCTTCCTCAACCAGATAAAAGTTTCTCTATATTTGGCAACACTTGTCCATACATTGTAATTTGGGAGTGTGATGTTTCCCTTTTTTTCTGCCTCTCCCCTCTCCCTTCCCTCCCTCTCTTTCTCTCTTTTTTTCCTGGTTTTAAGGAAGTGAATATGACAAAAATGCCTCCCTATACCATCATCACCTAAAAGCATGGAATCTTCTAGAAGGACCAATTCACCAGCAACCATTTTTCAAAGGATGTTTACAAATTACTTTTTATAGATGTATTCACAATTTTCTTCATTTCTATAGCATAAGTAGCCAAGTTCTCTTCCTTACTGCCTGTGATAGCATATGATAACAATGAATTTCCTTTACATTGTCTTGTTACCAGTATTTTATTAGTGGCTTCACTTTGCCAAAGGTGCTGTTTGAGGCTATGTTTGTTACAAGGTAGAAACTGACAAGATTGAATTAAGTAAGTATTGATGCTAAGTTTTTGCTAGGTGCCAAAAATCCAATTGCACAATTACAGGATGGCCTGAGTGTGTGTTAAAACGCTTGTGAGTTTTCGATATGTGATGGGACTGCCAAGAGAACTACCAGGACTTTATATCACAATAATTGATCAGGAGTACTGAGGACACGGTTCTGCCCTCCCGTTCTATGGGCAAGCTGCACCATGGCAGTGCGTTTGGTTCTGGAAACCTTTCCTTAAAAAGCACTGACATATCACGTTGGCTTCAGAAGGGGGTTGACCAGGATGTGGGGACACCTGAGACAGTGCTTCTGCAAGTCATGGGTTGAAAGAGGTGGAGGTGTTTGACCTGGAGATGAGAAGTCTGGGTGCAGGCAGTGATGGTAACAAACTAATATTTGTTGAGTATGACCTTCAGCCAGGCACAAAGGACCACCAGCGTATTATCTTCTTGAATCCTCATAACGGTCAAGTGAGGCAGGAACAGTTAGCCTATTTCATAAACAGGGGAATTGAGGTTCAATACAGTTAAGCAGTGCAAGGATGCAAGGTTGATAAGAGAAACAACTTTGCCTTTCTGTTTATCAATTTGTGAAGTCTTGAGCTGTTAAATTCTGTATTACATGCTTCTTTTGGTCTACATTTGCAAGTATGTAAAAGGACTTGGGTGTGGAAGTTCAAACCAGGATAGATGCCCAGAAATAGACTCTTCTTCTTTTTATTTATTTATTTTTTTGGCAGTACTAGGGTTTGAACTCAGGATCTCACATGTGGCTAGGCAGGTGCTCAACCACTTGAGCCATTCTGCCAGCCTTCTGTTGTGTTGGGTACTTTTGAGCTAGGGTCTCTTGAATGATTTCTCTGGGCTGGCTTTGAATGGTGTTCTGCCTGGTCTCTGCCTCCATAGTAGCTAGTTTTACAGGTGCGAGTGACTTGCACCTACCTCAGAAATATATTCTTGTGTTGTGTAAAGAATTGTTTCCTAGATGGAGGCCAGGGCTCCCTGATACTGGTCACATTCAGGTGTGTGCTGAGTGACTGCCTGGGAGTGTTTGTAAGGAGGTGTAAATTTAGAGTGGGTTATGTAACCTTCAAAATCTCTTTCAATTCTGAGATTTGGGGATTCTGTGTATGTTTTCCTCTTTGTCAGGTATATTCTTTAAAAAAATGTAAATTGGGATAAACTACAATGCCATAAAACTTACTATCTTAACCATTTTAAGTGTGCGGCTCAATAGTAAGTGCATTCATAGTGCTGTGCAGTCACTCCCCAGACATTTTCATCTTGCAAAATGGAAACTCTGTACCCACTAAACAACAGCCCCTAACTTCCTCCAGATTTGAGAATTTACCATTTTACTTTCTGTTTCTGTGACCTTGACTACTCCAGATCCCTCACCACACAGTATTTGTCTTCTCCTGACTGACTTATGTCACTTAGCACGATGTTCTCAGGGCCCACCCATGGTGAAGCATACAGCATAGCAGTTCCTTCCTTTTTACGGCTGAATAGTAATCCATCACATGTAAGTAATATGTTTTGTTTAGAGCTAACCTTGCTGTCACAGCTTGTGGCTCTGTTTGTAAATTATTACAGAGACTGTTACCTGGGCTGGATAGGGAGTGGCATGCCCTAATCAATACAGTACAAAACAGATAGCAGGTTAGCCTGCACCATGTCTGCTCTATAACATAACCTGGGAAGAGTAAATTTTGAATTAGGTTCCTAGTAATTGGTTCATTTTCTTGTAATTTGTGATTTAAAAAATCAAATCCAATCCTTATTGGATGAAACAAATAGCTTTTGAAAGGAAAATAAGGAGAAAATTCTAGTTAGACTGTTGTGTCACTCAGTATTAGCTGTGTGTTTCAGGAAGGTACCAAATGCTGTGGAATAATTCTGTGGAAAGTTCGTTTTCTAGCCAAGTGTTTATCATCTTTTGTGTGCTAAACTCTCAACTTTACACTGAAGGTTTTCCTCCACATCTGGTCTCCACATTATGTTTTCTTGCCTCACTGTATGTGTGGAGTAAAGTGAGCCTAACATATGGAAGAACATCACCAGGACCACAGGGACCTGGGGCAGAGACTGTGTCAGGAATGCTTTCTCTTTTTTGGCTGGGTTGTGTTCTCTTTTTAAATATTTCTTCTGAAAATATTTAACAATGGTGTTTATATTAGTAACAGCTTGCCATGTAATTTCCCCCAAAATGAAACTTTTTCCTGGTTATAGCATGGGTGGCCCTGCAAGGGCCAAAAACTGGCTGGGGATGTACCTAAGTCTTTCTGTCTCTCAGATACTCCAAGTTAGCAGACAGGTTAAGTAAAAACAGGGTGCTTACTGTGCAAATCGGCTTTCAGACAAGTCTTCTATCCCCATGTTCCCATCTGATTGCCGCTCCCAGGACACTGGCTCAGAATAGCAGTTCTAAGGTAAACACTGCTTACTGAGACACATTCAGATGGCGTTCAAATCCAGGGCAGTTCTCAGAAGTGAGGCTTTGGTAACACACCTCCAGATGACATCCATCGCTCAACTTTCTAAGTTGTTGCCATAGAAACAATTGGGAAGCCATGAATATGCACTGTGAAAAGCAGCACACAGAGAAGAATTGTTTTAGAAGCTTACCAGGAAAGATTAGGGCGTCACGGATCCAAGAAAATCTAAGGCAGCAGTGAACATCAGGTGTATGGAATAATGACAGAATAGCTACAGCCGTTTCATTAGTCACAGCTCAACAAATTAAAGTTTCTTTAAAAAAAAAAAAACTAAAGATATTGAAACTTGCTAACCCTGTTTTTTCAATTTTCTTCTTTTAAAAAATATTTTTATTTTTTACTGACACATTATAATTGCATGTATTTATGGGGTACAATGTGACATTTCAATGTGATTAGAACAGGGTAATTGGTATAGCCATCACTTCAAACTTTTATCATTTCTTGTGTTGGGGATATTCAAAATCCTCCCTGCCAGCTATTTTTTAAATATTCAGTTAATTGTCACCAGTCATAGTTACCCTACTGTGCTATAGAGCATTAGAAGTTGTCTTATGCAGCCATATTGCTGGACCTAGTAACCATCCTCTCTCTGTCCCTTTCTTTCCCACACCCTTCCCAGTCTCTGGCAACCACTATTCTAGTTTCTACTTTTTATTTTATTTATTATTATTTTTTTAAATTATCATTGTGCTGAGGGTACATTGTGACATTTACAAAAGTTCTTACAATATATCATAGTTGAATTCACCCCCTCTTATCATTCTCTTTTATCCCTCTTCCCCATTCCTGGAATAGTTTCAACAGGTCTCATTTTTCCTGTACATACTTGTGTGTACAGTATTTGCACTGTACTTTTGAGATCAACTTTTTAGCTTCCATGTGTTAGTGAGATGTGCAGTATTTGTCTTTCTTATTTCTCCTAATAAGAAAGAAGAGACCTGTATTCTGTCCCTATTGCTACATCATTCCCAGTTTTCTTAACCTCATGAAAGCAGTAAGTCTAGAGCACTGAGCTTTTTTTGTCTTTTATCCCTATCACTCTCCTCTTTGCTGGCATCTATTTTTACAGATAGCCAACGATGTTGAAACTCACTATAAACCTAGATTTGTTTTTTGCTTTCTGTGTTTTTCCAAGGTATCTGCAGTTGCCATGGCTTGGTGAGGGTTCTGCCTTATTCTCTGTCCTTCTGTCTTTTCAGGAAAGAAGAGTCCCGACCTGGGGGAGTATGACCCCCTCACCCAGGCTGACAGTGATGAGAGTGAGGATGACCTTGTGCTTAACTTGCAGCAGAAGAATGGAGGGGTCAAGAATGGGAAGAGTCCTCTGGGAGAAGCTCCAGAACCCGACTCAGATGCTGAGGTTGCAGACACTCCAAAGCCACATCTTTCAGAAGTCACCACAGAGGGGTTTCCCTCGGAACCCCTCGGGGGCCTGGAGCAGAAGGCCACCTCCCCCCTGGTGTCATACGTGCGCACATCTGTCTTCCTGCTGACGCTGGGTATCTCCATGGTCTTGGTGCTCCTGTGTGCTTTCCTGATCCCCTGTCCCCCTAGAGACCTGCACAGCACATGGAGCCGCCCCTTGGGCTTTCAGAGAGGTGAGTTGTGGGGTTTTCAGCCCTAAACACGTAAAGCTTTTCGTCTGATTACATACGCGGTTTCCTCCCAGTGTGTGGAGGTGGGTAAGAGGGTAAGATTTGATATGAAGCGAATAGATGGGTTGCTGTACCTACACACTTAGGGCTCACTGCTTTATGGTTTCAGCATTGGACTTAATTAGACCCAGAGAAGTGGGGTCAGTGCGCTGGGCTCCTGCGTGGAGTCAACACTGGATCAGGAGTACGCAAAGCTGCAGGAAGGACTGTTTAGAGAGAAAACCAAGGCTCAAGGGCTGGCCAGACCAGGGCCTGGTGCACCTGAAGGAGCCCAGGCTTTCCCCAAGACTGACCTAATTTAAATTTCCAAATAATGTCATTTCTGTTCTTTCTTGTTTCCAGGGGTCGGGGTGGTGCTGCTGGCGCGATCACGTTCGCATCTGCTCCCTTGTCTCCAGTGCCGCAGGGTTGTTGAGCCTCTTGTTTTGGTGTGGGGGTTGTCTCAGCTGCGTGAGCAGTCTGTTCCTGGCACACTGCCCCAGGCTGTCCCAGACCCCTCCACCCCACCATCTTGATCCAGAAGTGCTTCATCCAGGGGCTTCTCTGATCCCAGGGAATTAGGGAAACTAGCTTCTGATGGGCTCTGTGCGCTCAGCTTTGGTTCTCTTGTGCGAAACTTAATTTACATAATATTGATACATAGTATCAAGACTAGCAACATTGTTGGTGCAGCCACTGCAGACATCTGGACAGCACAGTCTCTGTGTGTTCCTCCTGACCTTCTCCCTCCTCTGCCTGCCACAGGTCCACTCTTCTCAATTTTGTGTTGTTTGTTTTTTCTTTAAAGTTTTACCACAGCCCCAGGTACCCCTAAGTGACATTTCATTAATTTTGCCTTGTTTTGACTTCACATCGATGCAGTCCTGTAGTCTTCTGTGAGTTGCTTTTTGTGCGACATAACTTTTTAAATGTGTTTGAGATTAACCCTTATTGACAATTCTAACTGGAATTTATTCATCTTTACTACCACCTAGTTCTCCAAGATATGAATATCCCACAATTTATTTATCTCTTTTACTGTTGATGAACATTTAAGTGACTTCCAGTTTTTTTTTTTTTTTTGATAAATGATGTTGACAAGTACATTCTTGTATGTGTTTCCAGAGGCAATTTATAACAATTTCTCTAAGACATAAGCCTAAAATTGCTGGGTCAGAGGGTGTATGCACGTTCATTTTTAGCAGTTTATTTCAGCTTATCTGCCAAAGTGGTTGGGCCAATTTTGGCTTCTACTTGCACTGTGTGAATTTGTCAAGGCGGGGGGGAGTCCTACTTGTCACTACCAGGAGGGGATGGAAGTTCAGGCTCCCACTGGTCTCTGATGACCCTCTGGTAGGTGGGGAGGAGAGGCGGGGCTGCCTCATTCCTCCTGGGTGTGTAGAGCTGTAGGCTACCCTTGTGTATGCACGGAGGGCCTTGGTACTGCAGGCGACATGACAGTCTTGCCCCCACCCCCCCGCCCCCTGGAACAAGGGAGGGGGTGACCTTGTTACAGCCAGGACAGGGTGGAAGTCCAGACTCCCCAGTCAGCCTGTGCTGTGGGCGGTGGGGCCAGGGCTGTAGTTTTATCGTCTGTGTTTGGTTGGAATGGAACAATTATTATCTGAAACTTTCCTGCCTTGCTAGGCTGGGTCTTTCCTTGGGATTTTGACGAGGGAGGCCAGCTCTTCCTGGTGCCTCTTTGTTGGCACCTGTGGCACTTCTGAGCTGGTGAAGACTTCTGCAGCACCCTGTCTGGAACCTATGAGGCTAACGAGCATGCGGGGTGCATCACCTTGCCATTGCTTGGGTTTTGCATTGTCTAGCCCTGCTGCCCCCATCTCATCACCCTTCAGAGTCTTAATATGTTTGTTTTATGTATAATGGCCAGGACTTTGAGATGGACTTAGTGGGGGAGGAGGGAGAAGTGTGTCTATGCTATCTTGTTTGGGAACAGGAAGTTGGCCTATATTCCCTGGGGGTGCTGGCCGTATTCCCTTTGTAACTTGGCAGCAGAGAACTGGTTTGTGGCAGCCTGCTCAGGCCCTTATTTATTTATTTATTTATTTATTTATTTATGTGCACATCAGGTGGGGACCTGTCTCCACTGGAACTGGCTGATGTGAATGGAGACGGCCTGAGGGATGTGCTTCTCTCCTTTATGACACCAAGGAATGGGAGTGCAGGAGGTAAGAGACAACTTCTGTGGCTGCTACAGAGGAGCTGTCTGCCAGGAGGACTCATCAGTTCTCTCTCTCTCTGTACTGCAGAAGAGGGTCTGCAGGGATAGAATGTTACCATGTCACCATGGATCTGTTACACATGCAGAAAATTCCTGCATGTTAAGAACACTCACATCAAGAAACCAGAGCAAGGTATAACTGGAAGGGACTTTTATGCTTACCCAGCCAGTGAAGAAACTGATCCAGAGAGGAAGTGATGTGCCATACCTGCAGTGACAGCATTAGTTCTTAGGTCTCTTAAATCTTCTCCCAGTCAGTTTTCCATGGTCTCCTAGGTTATGTTGATGTCCATTCTACCCCTCTCTCCAACCCCTGCCAGGAAACCTTTGTGCATGGAGCTGCATGACTTTGCACATATACATCTTGCCTGGGTGCCTTCCCTTTCCCTTTTGGTTCACTCTTTGATCTGCTCTCTGCTTGTGGAGGCTGGGATGTTGGTATGGTGTCCACAGCCTTCCTTGCCTGCTGGCTTCTGGCTGGGCTGTGCCAAAGGGAAGCATAGGTGGGTAATTGGAGCAGGAGACGAGAGTGAGAAGTGTTTATCCTTTCAGTTCCCTCCCTCCAAGTTACCATAGGCTGGCTATGTCCTTGACCACAGGTCACAGCTGGTCTCAAGGTGGCTGTCTTAGAGGCCTTTTTGGGCCTGGGAGCAGTAGCAGTTCTGAGGGCTGGACTGTGCATCTGGGGTTCCTACACACAATTTCATTATAAATACTCTCATTGCTAAGCCTCCACAAGTTACCCTAACTGAGTATGCTGTTTCTGGGACCCTGGCTGGTAGTCATGTCAATAGCAGAAACAGCCCAAAACATGCTGCATTTTCAGTTCTGGTGCACAGGGGCTCTATTTGTACTGCAGCCTCCATTAAGGTGGCATTGACTACAGCCTGTGAACTGATAAGGGGTCCTAGCTGGAGGCCAAGGAAGCCCTAGGAACTGCTGGTGATCACTTAGTCTTGGAGCAAACATCTAGATATGTTCTAGAGATTGCTAACCTGGGCATTCCTTTGACATGACTAGAAATACCTTTCTGAGGCATGTGTCAGGTGTAGAAGCAACTTGGGTAGAGAAATCCCATTCTGAAAGCAGATTTTCATATAATCAGACCTTGACTGCATTTCTGCCTACCTATGACTCATTCACATTAGAAGTAAGATCCCTCCCCATCTACTGTTAGATTTCAGGATATTTTAGTCATTTGGTATTTTACATGATTTACTATATATATTAAGATGTATAATGGCCAGGCCATGATTTTGGAGATGGTATGAACCAGCCTGATTTGCTCACAGGTTATAAAAACAAGAATATGGCTATCATTTGGTTCTTTCTGTGTGTAAGTAAGGTAGACTAATATTATTGTCAATGGACAAAGCGAGGTTAAGGACTTTGCACAAAGTCCTGTAGCTGGTAAATGGCAGAGCTGGGCCTCAGATCCAGGAGGCAGGCTCTGGAGTCTAAGTCCTCAACGCCCATGCCAAATGGCTGTGCCCACAACTCAAAAAGCTTCTGCCACTGGGCAGCAAGGGACCAAGTTGATATTTGTTCACTGTCCATCACTCATTCAACAAGTCTGTGTTGAATGGCAGCCATGCAGTGGGCGCTGTTTGTCTTCTCCAGGGCTGTGTTGGTTCTACACAGAGCTCACAAGAGGAGTGAGGGCTGTGCCTGAAGGGGCCACAGTCTCACAGGGAAGGGTGACTCATGAGTAAAACAAGAGTCAGTGAGTGGACCCGGAGTCAGTGGGGCCCTTATGTAGGAAGAGCAGTGTAGGATGTTTATAACAGTGTCCTTGAGAACTCTGGAAGCTAACATGTCACCAGCACTTGTATATCACCTCTGGCAACAAGGTCTGAAACAATGAGTTGCAGTTTGTCACTTGTTTCTTGGTTGTATATTTAATTAGTAATACAGAGGAATAGGTAGAATGAAGCTTTGAACTTGTTTCCTTATTGTTGCGAGAAGTAGAAAGTGTGTAAGATGAGTTAAGGTGCCGCTGTCCTGAAAGTGAAGGTAATGCTGGCAAGAGAATTATTATTCTGCTGGAGCAGTCAAAAGGTGAGCTGTAGTCACCTACTGGTCACCTTTGGCCCTTGGTGTTAAGTCTTCCCAAGTGTTCTTTCCTGCTGGGATCACTTCAGCTGCTGCCCTGGAGTCTTGGCCAGCAACACCTGCTGACCAGGTGTAGTCTTCAGGTTGATTTCTAAAAGCATCCTTGTTCTGCTCTCAGGGAGCTTTGCTACTAATGATTAGGACAGGTATTTTGCTTTGTACTCTGTAATCTAGGTCAGTCTCTTGTTTCTGAGCGCACCTTTCCCCCTGGTGTTTTCTTCTCAACAACAACTTTCTATATTTTGGGTTTTGCACCTGTCTTTTATTCAGTAAATAGTCACTTTCTGTGTGCTCCAGACAGTTTGCAAGGCGCTGAGGATACAGTCTTCGTCCGTAAGGACATTACTGGTTAGTGGGAACGTTGTGGCAGCCAGGTAAGCAGACCAGCTGGGAAAGGGCAGGAGTGGAGATGTGAAAAAGCAAAAAGGTGGCCATATGTCTTGTCTTCTGTGAGGTGTGTGTCAGCAGAGGTGACAGGAACCCCATTTTCAAACCCTGTTGTCAGAAGTATGTTAGGGAATTGAACACACAGGTGAGTGTTGCTGCCTGACCACCATTCACATTTGTTTTTCTGACCTCCTGCTCATCTCTAACTCTTACCTCCTCTGCCTCTTTCCCCTTTTCTTTCCTTTTTCTTTCTTTGGTGGTACTGGGGTTTGAACTCAGGCCCTTGTACTTGCTAGGCAGGTGCTGTATCACTTGAGCCACACCCCCAACCCTTCCTCCCTTTCTTATCTCTCTTGCTTTTAGGTGGCTCAGGACCAAATGCTAATCTTGTGTGCCTTTCGGGGATGAATGGCAGCACACTGTGGTCTACTCCCCTCCCAGAGGAGGCCCAACATATCATGTGTTTGGATCTGATACCAGGAAGTGTGGCTGAACCCATCTGCCTTGTGACAGGGACACGCAAGATGCTCAGTGCATTCAATGCGACATCAGGTAACGACCTTGCACCTCAAGAGGTCTTTGCTCCAGTGAGCCATGATTTTGGATTAGAACAGAGTGGTAGGGCAGGGACTTTCCCACTCTGGCAGGATGGAAAGTCTGACTTGCTGCTCTAGAAGGTGGTTATTAAGGGAATGAGATAAGAGGTTTGGGCAGATTGAGTAAGTAAAAGCCCTGTCTCAACCTGTCTGGTGATAAGAAGGGACTAAACCAAGTTACCCAAACAGAAACTGCCCTGAGGCTTTTGGTTGTGAAAAACAGTCTCCCGGCTCTGTGCTTTGTATAAAGGACAAAGAAGCATTGCCTCTTCTTATTTGATGTATGTGTAGTCCACCTGTGAATGTGGGCATTAACTACTCAAAAACATGTCAGTGAAGATACTAAGCTTTGTTGAGGCTACTGATATGGCCTTTTAGCTTCTTACTGCTTTTGGGCACACATGACAAAAGGGATGAAGAAGAATCAAATATAGCCGAGCATAGAGGCTCACACCTGTAATCCCAGCTATTTGGGAGGCAGAGATTGGAAGGATCATGATTCAAGTCAGGCTGGGTGAAAAATTAGGGAGACCCCATCTCAACAAACCAGTCTGGCCTGTGGTTCCTGTGGTTCTAGCTACTGGGAGACATAGGTAGGAAGACATCTGAGGCTGGCCCAGGCAAAAAGTCAAGATCCTATCTGAACAATAACTAAAATAGAAAAAAGCACTGGCCATGGCTCAAGTAGTAGAGTGCTTGCCTCGTAAGCCCAAGCCCTGAGCTCAAACCCCAGTGCTGGGAGAAAAAAAAATAAAGAATGAAATATAATGAAGGCTCCAAACAGAGTCATATATGCTGAGATTGTGCTGGTCATCACCTGGGGCCATGTGCTCTAGTGAAGCCAAATAATTAGTCCATCCAGGGTCTAGATGTGGGGTTGATAGTGGGGTGTCTGAGAGAAGAGAAAGTGGAATGCACTTAGTCTAGGACCGAAGTCCTCTTGGAAACCTCTCATGATTTCTCTGGTGCCTTTCCATGTGACCATATGGGAGAAGCAGCCAGAGTGGGCTTTCTGGTTGGCAGCCACTGATGGCCCCTTAGTGGTTGTAATAGCCTCCCACAGGTCCATTTTCTGTCACAGTACAGCAAGTTCTTTTTTCCTAAAGACTTCATACACATGGTCGAAAACATTTAGGCATGAGGTGACGACATGCATGTGTTAGCCAGATGTTGAGGACTTCAGAGCATGCACCTTGTTTCTCACCTTCTCAGGAGGTTAAAAACTAAAGGGAATAGCATCTGTTCAACTCTCTGAGTTGCCTTTGCTGGCCTGGGGCACTGCAGCTGCCTTTTCCAGAGCAGAAAGCCAAGTGGTGACCAGCCTGTTTGTCCTCTCCTAGGGAAAGCCATCTGGACCTTAAACCCAAGTCACCTGTCCAACGGTACCTTGGCTGCCCCAGTCGTGGTGCTGCCAGACTTGGATGAGGATGGCATCCAAGATCTTGTGGTTCTGGCCATTGGGGAAACACAGGTATGATCTCTGTCGGGTGGTTTTGTTTGAATTTTAGTCATCTCTTTAATGCTGTTGCTATAAATGCTGCCTAAAACACTCTTTTTGCAAGGGCTTAGGCTTAGTAAGTCCTCTTGGTGAGGTTAAGTGAATAAGTGAGCATTATAACCTGTTTTCCCCAGCAGTCTCATTGTGCTTCCATGGACTGTGGTGTCATGGAGCTTGGGAACCAGATAGGTCTGTGTGTAAATACCTCTTCTATCGCATTGTAGCTTTGTGGCCTCAGGGAGCTGGAATCTAGCCAAACTCTGGTTTCTTCATATGTAAAAATGAGAATGCTATGTCTACTTGTAGGATGCTTATGAAAATTAGAACCACACAGTCATGCCTATTTTTTTTAACCATGTTAGTTTTACTACATTATATGTGTTTAAGTTTTATTCAACTATAAAACAATAGAACTGACTGATAAAAAGCCCATAAAGTATGTAGGGGACCAAAACTAGATCCTTATCTCTCATCCTGTACAAAAATCACTTCAAAATGGATCAAAGACTTTAATGCAAGACCTGAAACTTGGAAACGACTGTAGAACAACACAGGGAAAACACTTTAAAATCTAGGCACAGACTACAGCTGTCTGAACAGGACTCCAGTAACTCAGGAAATAGGGCGAGAATTGATAAATGGGATTGCATCAAATAAAAAAGTTTCTGCACAGTAGCAAAACAAAACAAAGCAAAACAATTATCAGATTGAAGAGACAACCTACAGAATGGGTGAAAATCTTTTCCAGCTATTCATCTGGCAAGGGATTAATCCAGGATAGACAAAGGCTCAAAAAATAAACACAAAATAACAATCTAATTAAATGAGCAAATGAGTCAGCAGATAATTCTCAAAAGAAGAAATACAAATGACCAATAAATGCATGAAGAAACATTTAACATCCTTAGCCATCAGGGAAATGCAAATCAAAATGACACTGAGATTCCATCTCACTCCAATCAGAATGGCAATCATCAAGAAAAACCTACAAAAACAAACACTGGTGAAAATGTAGGGAAAAAGGCACCCTTGTACACTGTTGGTGGGAGTGTGAATTACTGCAGCCAGTATGGAAATCAGTATGGAGGTTGCTCAGAAAACTAAAATAGAACCGTCATGTGACCCTGCCATCCCACTCACTCCTGGGCATTTACCTGGAGAAATGTAAGTCAGCATACCTAGACACACCTGCACGCCCATGTTTACTGCAGCTCTATTCACAAGAGCAAAGCAATGGACAGCCCAGGTGCCCATCAGCCAAGAACTGGATAAAGAAATATGGTGTATATATACACAGTGGAGTATTATTCAGCCATAAGGAAGAACACAATTATGTTGTTTATAGGAAAATGGCTGGAACTGGAGACTATCCTTCTAAGCAAAATAAGCCAAACTCAAAATGACACCACATGTTTTCTCTCATATGTGGAAGTAGACCTAAAAAATAAGTGCATGAATGTAAAAGGGGACTGCTGTAGGGGAGAGTGGGAGGGGAAAGAAGAGGGGCTTGGGGGTGAATGTGACCGGAGTACGTTTATGCTTGTATGAAACACATTAAAATTGTAAAAACATACATTAATTAAAAAAGAAAGTTCACAAGTTAAAAAATCTAAGTCAAACAATAACATAGCCAGACATGGTAGTACATACCTGTAATCTCAGCACTCAGGAGGCAGAGGCAAGAGAATCAAGAGTTTAAGGCCAGCCTGGGCTCCATAGTGAGACCCCATCTCAAAAACAAAAACATGGGGAGGAGGATGTGGGGAAAGGGTGAAGGAGGTTGATATGGTACCATATTGTGTACACATGTGTGTAAATGGAAAAATGTGACCTGTTGAAACCATTCCAGGAATGGGGGGAGGGAGGATAAAGAATTCAACTATGATATATTGTAAGATCTTTTGTAAATGTCACAATGTACCTCCAGTACAGCAGTAATTAAAACAAATAATAAAAACAAAATCAAACAAAAAACCTAGTAACACCCGTGACCAAAGGAAGGAGAGTTGTACTCTGTGCTGCAGTAAGACAGACTTTGATTCTAGTCCAGTGATCTTAAATCATAGTCCTATTAATTATGGAGCCGGGTGTTCTGTGTACAGCTAAAGTAAGGCTATTCCCCCACGCCTCAGGAAAGACTAAATGAATGAACATAATTATTTCAGCGTTAAGTTTTTCTTCCTGAGACACTTCTCAGAGGGTTTGTCATCATTTCTCTTAATGCCTGCTTGGCAGGCTCCCTACCACTCGAGCCATTCCACCAGCCCTGTCATTGTTAGAGTCTCTAAGACTTTTTCTCAGACATCCTAGCACGAGTCTGCCAAGAGAGTGCTTACAAACAAAAGAACGGAGCAAATGGCAAAGAAATCTGTGGAAAAATGCAGATAGAGATGATTTTGCCTTATTCGATGGCTTTTTTAAATTTTAAAATGGCTCATAGGAACTTTGTTACTGTTTTTCACTTAGCCACATGGCTCAACCAGGGATTATTCATATAACCTTTTAATTTTAATCTCAGTGATTGTGAATAAAGAGACTGGAGTCTCTGAAAAATTCTAATTATTATGTCCATGAGGAAGTGATTTTATGAAGTCTGGGAAGTTTCTTTCTGATGGAATGCAGTCAGCATAGTGGAGCATGCTCAAATCCCTAAGTGAACCTAAAGTGTGCTGTTAATACCCCATCTGCTTCTCATAGTCGGGGCGGTTAGATGTGGTGACTCAGGCCTGTAGGGACCCCCACAATAAGGGTCCTCTGTCATGGGAATCTGCCTCTTGCCCGCTCTTGCTCTGTGCCTTTTTGTCTCTACTTGGTATATTTCCTCAGCTTGCCTCACAGAATTCACTCATTGGCTCAACAGTGTAGGGCTATGGAATAGACTTCTTTCTCCCTGATGTTCTAGAACATTCTTGGAGAGGCGATGGGGAACAGCAATGTCATCTTTATTCTGATCTCTTTGCCCTCTTTACCAGCAGTAAAGAACCCAAGGAACCATTTAAGCTACAGACATGGAAGGCTCTCTTCATAGTCACTCTGAGCCGTGTGTTCTTAGGTCTGGTGCAGTGTGAGCTGAGCTTGGGAGACCTGGACCTGGTTCAGGATTAGGGGAATTGATCTGGCCTGGAACGTTATAGGGAAGGGACCTTAGAAGCCAGTGGCTGCTGCTCTCACACAGTGCTACAGTCGTGCCAGACACAAGGACAGCCATGCGCTCCTTGAGCACAGGCCGGTGTGAGTATCACTCACGTGAGAGGTGGTCTGGTTCATTGTTAGTCAGCTGTACAGAATTCTGTCTGTTGATGAGAGATGTACTTTCTCATAGCTTCCATCCATTGTCCCAGCTTTGGCCACACAGCAACTCTGAATGAGTCTAATCCCCCGTCAGTAGGAAAGCTCTTTGGATGTCAGCCTGCTGCCTCTAAGCTTGCTCCGCCCCGGGTGACATGTCCCAAGTTTCTTAAACTGTTCCTCCAGCAGCACGAGGTCCAAACCTTTCCTTTCCTTTGCATTCCAGTTGGCCTGTATTTCTTTTAAAATGTAATTTCTGGGCCCCGTGGCTCAATGCCTGTAATCCTAGCTACTCAGGAGGCAGAGATCAGAAGGACTGTGGTTCAAAGTCATTCTGGACAAATAGTTCTCGATATCCTACCTCAAAAGAACCCTTCACAAAAGAAAGGGCTGGTGGAGTGACTCAAGGTGTAGGCCCTGAGTTCAAACCCTAGTGCTGCAAAAACAAACAAGCAAACAAACAAACAAAAACCAAACCAAACCAACCAAACAAACAAAAAAACATGGTGCTGGTATCTGCAAACAGTATTTATTCCTAGTATAACAAGTTCTGTCAAGTTAAGGATACTGTTTCTTCTTTTAATGCATGCTCTGCTTTACTTTTGCAGCTCAAAGTTACAATAGCCTTTCTGTGTTTTTCTAAGGTTTCTAAGGTTTTCTCTAAGAAAGAAAAGGTTTCCCGTATCTTTTAATTAATCAGTTAATTGATAGATTAATTTCTTCTCGCAGATTTTGACTTATCTGCCAGTTTAAGGCCTTTCTGAATTTTGGGTTTGTCACATAGCATATTAGCTATCCCTTTCATCTTTGTGGTCAGCTTAAGTTCTATTCATTTGAGTCTTTGGTAAGAATGTTTAACAATGCAGCAATGCCAGACTTTCCACTAAAAGTTCCCTCTGAGTATTATCACCAGAAGCACTTGTTTCCATGCATCCCGTGAACCAGGTTTCTCTGTCTTGTCCATAAGAATTTATGATGACAAACTTTGTCAAAAGCTTTTCTGAAGATAAGATATTATTACAATGTCACTATTTCTCGAATAGTGACTTTATTCCCAAAAGAAAATCCTCTAGATCTGGGGTTGATCCATTTCTTATTTTTGCAAATAAAGTTTTATCAGAATATAGTCATGCCCATTCATTTATGTATTGCTGATGGCTGCTTTCAGGCTAGAACAACAGAGTAGAGTGATTGCTATGGAGAGCATCTGCCTGGCAGAGCCTAAAGTATTTATTGTCTGGCCTTCACTGAAAAGACTTGCTGGTCTGAGAGTAATATTGACAGTGGCCAGTCCAGACATCTGATGTTATGATGGAGAGCTCTGCCTGGATTGATTCTAGTTGGGGCCAAACATTATTGGCCTGTTCTGGGTATGAGAGTCCAGACCCAGGGTCAACAATCCTGTGTTTAGCTCTAGGCTAGAATTCTGTGTGTTTAGAGACTGTGCAGTCAGCAACCACCATGCTTCAGAGAAATTGCCTGGCATACCATAAAAGATGCCCTTTGCATGTGTCTAATCAGGGAACGAATGGGATGTTTGCCTCATTTCTTACATCTAGGAAAACAAGCAAAGCAGGTTTGGCTTTGTGCTTTCCACCTGTGGGAAGTGTTACCAAACCCTTAGCTAAGGAGAAGGTAGTGACTGAATTTGTTGCTTGATTGAGAAATGAAGGGCTTCTATTGACTACACCTCTTCTTCCATGTCTTCAGCCAGATCTGTGCTTTCTGCTGGTGTCTGGCCGCACAGGAAGTCCAGTGGGCCGACCCGTGAAGTACAACATTGTGGGAGTGGGGAATCTGATTGGTCCTCAGGCATACATCACTGCCAGTGGGGCTGTCTACATCCTGTTTGGCTTTGGTAAGAAGCAAGGCTGGATTTCACTACTGTTCCTCTGGTACAGGTGACAAGGCATCTCTTGTGAGACTGGTGAGAATGCTCAGGGATCATTGACACCAGTCCTTTCAGTGCTTCCTATTACAGGGGTCTCTCACCCCCCACTCCTCATGGCAAGGCATTAACTCTGCCTTCCCTGGCTGCCTTCTCTAGAGAGAAGACTGTGTCCAGCATCCACTGGTTCCCTGGTTCATGTGGGACCAGCCTAAGCCAGTTCTACTAGACCCATCTGATTGGGCTCTGTGTCCCCTTCCAGATCCCCACCATGGGCTGGTTCTTTTAAACTCAACTTCTCAATGTTGGTTCTTCCTGTGGTATTAGGAAATATCCAAGCTGTTGCCCTGCGGGACATTTTTGTCCAGGCCCAAAATCGAGACAGTTCACCACCCTCTCTGCAGATAGAAGAGCCGGAATGGGAGAGGCGACGGTCTGTCAACTTGTCTGAGCTCACTGGCATTTACAGGTAAGTCACAGGGAGATCTGTGAACTCAAGCGATACAGTGTCTCTGAGTTTGGTTGGGCCAGTAAACATGTGGGCAGAGGTTTGGGGTAAACAGTGCTGGCCTTAACATGCCGTCTTCTGAGCTAGTTAATGGGAGCAAGAAATTTTCTTCTCTTGGTCACATAATATTTTGGTATGTGGTGACCATGATATGTGATCACATCATCTGTGGGTCGCAAAGAAGTGTTTTGGCTTGGGTTCTGAGTCAGAGCAGGGCTAGGAAGGTAGATTTACTTAAAGTAACTGTCTGTATAGCTGTGCAGAAGTATCTGACCTATTCTTCCCGGTATTTTTCTCTTTGTTGAGGGACATTTTGACAGAAGCAAGGATAGTGTTCTTGAAATATTATTTTTTATTCCTATTTCTTAACTAAAAAGCATGTAGTTGTCATATGCAACGAATACCCATGTAACCGAGAGTGGGAAAATTGTTGCATTCTTTTCTGTCAGAAGTTTCAAATCATTTCCTGGCATTTTACTGAGGTGATATGTTGTCCCAGTGAATTTGACAGGCACACTTAAGTGAGTGGTTCCAGTGGAATAGAGAAGGAAGTGATTTGATGAAGCTTATGCCAGGACTGCTGTCCAGGCTTAACAGTTTCAGGTCTCCGTCCTGATCTGCACCTGCCTTCTTTGCCATTACCCTTGATCTTTTATTTTCCCCAGAGTATTTGATGCGAGAGGCATCACAGCCCAGCACTTGTCCTGTGAGTGCTATGAGCTTGCGTGGAATTTTCTAGGGGTCCTTGGTTTCTAATGGGAATGACAAAGTGTCCCATGTGATGAGATGGTGGAAATGGATACGAGAGTGCTACCACCACTCCATGTCCATGACTCCTCAGCTGTGGATTCAACCAATTAAAAATATTTAAAAAAAACCCTCTGTCTGTACTGAGCACATATAGACGTTTTTCTCATCACCATTCTCTGAGCAGGACAACTATTTACACTGCACTTACATCGTTCTAGGCATTCTAAGTAAGTCAGAGATGACTTCAAGTAGATGGAGGTTGTAGGTTTTACTTAGATATGCCACCTTTTATGCAAGGGATGTGAGCATTTGTGGGTTAAGCATTTTCAGGGGACTCTGGCACCAATCCCACAGGGATACCAAGGGTCAGCTGTAAATGCAAACATACAGACAGTGAGAGAAGAAGCAAAAACAAATGGATTCAGGGCTCTCATCCATGCCAGAGACTAATTGTCGGGGTCTCATTCAATGCAGTGATGGCGTTGAGCAACTCCAGCTGGTGAAGTCCCCTGATTCCAACTGCAGCAACCTCCTGATCACAACCAGACAAGGCCTGGTCCTGCTTCGGGGGCAAAATCTTAGTCCTTACTGGACACTGAGGCTTCAGGGCCTGCGCAGGTTTGTGGTGTGCACCTTCCCACGTGTGCTGTTTTGATCCATTTTTCCACATTTATAAATTATCTGTGGCTGGCGAAAGAGAAAGGAGGAAGGGAGCTGCTTGTCTTCCTGTTTTCCTCATCTGCTGTTGATTGCTTCCTTGCCTTGTTTGCAGCCAGCCTACTCCTGGGTACTTCACTGAGGACCAGACTTTAGACTTCCTTCTGCAGATTCAGGATGGAGTTGGAATGAAAAAGGTAAGACATCGAGACTCAAATCAATCAAAATGTATGGAGGGTATATACTCTGTGTACAGCCCTGTGCAGGGCACTGTGAGGAACAGAAGAGCCTAGAATGTGGTCTCTTCCATCAGAGAACCAAGTGTTGTTGAATGAAAACTCACCATTCAGTGCTAAAGTAGATAGCACCGGAAATTTTTCTAGGTGGATCTCTTTCCTGCACAGGAGTTCCTTCTGGATACCTTACTTAGACAGCAGGAGCCTTCTAAAATCTCTTGGCAGGGAAAGGCAGGAGTAAGTAAATGTAACACTTGTGCATACAGATAGACCTAAGATTTTGGTGGAGGCAGGTGTCTGTGGTGGAAAGACTTCACAGGGCTTTTAAAGGTGAATTTACATGGATGAGAAGGCATGCCAGGTTAGGAGCACCAAGGCTGAGGCCCAGGGAGAAATGGTGAGATCGCTTCAGGGACTCTCAATGCATCTTTTGGACTGTATGTGAGGTTGTGTGTTGCAAGAATATAATGCTTGGATGGATAATTTTCATTTCTTTAATGCTACAGGTAGAATTACAGAGTTTTACAATTTTTTCTTTTTATAATCAGCCTAGATTTTTGGTTTATCTTCACTCAGTGTGTGTGTATGTATTTGAGTATGTATGCATACATAATATATATTATATCCATGTATTATACGAGTTATACAGTGCACACTGTTCCCTGAGAGAGAAACTAATTCGACAGGTGATGAATCATCACCTCTAACGTGTGCCAAGTTCTGTGCTCTGTGCTGGAGACAAAATGAATGAAGACAGGGCCACTGCTCTTGTGCAGTTCAGAGTCCCTGGGCTGGGACACCTAGACATAGCTCTGGATGTCACAGCAAGTGCTGTTGTGGAGATTTGTACCATTGGGCACACGGGGGCAGATGGGAGGCAGCAGAGCCAGTGGGTCAGGGAGTCATGAGGCCGTGCGTTGGTCGGGGTGGCCTTGCAGAGATTTGCCAGACAGAAAGAGAAGGTTTCCAGAGGTTGGAAGGAGTGTGTTCCTGTTGGAGAGGTCAAAATGACCATTGTGGAGTTTCCCAAAGATTGTGGGATATGGATGCTGTAGAGAGGCCAGGGAGTCCTCTGGTTATGGCAGAGGACAGATACAAGGATCCAAGTATCACCTCAGGGAGTCTTCCAGCAGTGAGGAATGCTATTACAAGGGAATGCAGATAGAGATTGTTCTCACTGGTGTTTCTTGGGGGCGGATAGAGAGACAGGTGTAATTTGTTGGTGAGGCACTGAGATGGTGAGAGTTTCAGCTCTGAGTTTTAATCCTGGCTTTGCTACTTATTGGTAACTGAATTACACATGTTGCCTCACAGATACAGTTTCTGCATCTGTGAAAAAGGGGTAGTAATGTCTCCTGCCTTCAAGAGGTTGTAACAGTGAAAGGAAATGGCTATATGTGCAACTGAAAAAAGTCTAGACTTCTTTTCTTCCCAGAATACCACATGAAATCTCTGCTGACCTATTCCTCTTGCTGGCTCTGAGAGGTTTGTTTCTGCCTGTTTGGCTCCAGGACCTTTTGTGACATGGAATCAGAGCAAGGGCAGATAGGGTGGGAGACTAGAAGAATAGGCAAGTGACTGTCTTGAGAGTTTTTGGTCTTCCACTCACTGAAGAGCAGAGACACCAAGGAAGACCCTGGGCTGAAGGTGGAGGGGCAACTTCTTGGGCAAATGGGAGCCTCTAGGTTTGTGAGGTTTGAGGGTTTTGAGGTGAAGAGATAAGATTGCTGCTGGGGCTTGTGAATTTGACCCTCTTATTACCCTTTGAGAGATGCAACTACTGAACGAAATCCCTTTTGATTTAGTTTGTGCTCTGTTAAGCCTAGGGTAGTGTACCCTATCCTAGGGCTGAAGTACACACACCAAGTCACCATTAGGCTGCAGAGCTGGGAATGTGGTCGCTGGCACATAGCATTTGCTTGATAGTTCTTTCCTAGGTGGCTGTTGCAGTTGTGGGAGGAAAGGGATAGTGCAGAGATGCTGTTGGTGGTGTCTGGTTTCAATGGACTTTTAAAATTTGGGGTTTGAACTCAGGGCTTCACACTTGCTAGGCAAGTGCTCTACCACTTGAGTCAGTCTGACAGCCCTAGTCTCCCGACTACTCCGGGGGCATGGCCCCTTTATGTCTGAGACTGACATAAACATGGGATAATCCAAGTCACTCCCTGTCTCTGAGCCTCCCTGTCCTCAGCTGTAAAATGAACTGGACTTATTTTGTAATGTCCCCGTCTCACTCAAATTGTAAAGCTCCTTAAACTCTATTAAGTGGGAACCAGGGCTACAGAAGTTTGGATCCTGGTTTCTAGCCATTTTTTAATGCTCTTGGAACACTCAATTTGCTTACACCTCTGAAGCTCACCACCTGTTTAGACAGTCAGCTCTCTGTATCTGGGTTAAACATTGGGACATTCAGCCAACTGAGGAGTGAAAATATTTGAAAGAAAAAGTGTGCCTCTCCTGAACATTTGTAGACATTTCTTGTTGCTATTCCTAAACAATGCAGCATAATAACTATTTATCTGACATTTACATTGTACTAGGTATTAACAAGTGATCTAGAGATGACTTAACATCAGGAGGGTGTGCATAGGTTATATGCAAATGCTACCCTGTTTTATATAAGGGATTTGAGTATCCGCTGATGTGGGTATCCCTGGAGTGGGGGGGTCTTGGAATCAATGCCCCACAAATACTGAGGGAGGATTATATATGCATTATTTGAGTATCATGGTGTTTGTCTTTTTTTTGGCTTTGGGTACTTTCATGGACTGCTGCTTTTCCAAGGACTGGCCACTTCCCTCTCTCTGTTCTCTTTTGTAGATGATGGTGGTAGATGGCAGCTCTGGCTCTATCACTTGGAGTTACAGTGCTCCATGTCACATGAAGGAAACACCAACCACCTCAGCAGTTACTTCAGACCAGAAGTCCGTCTTCCTCTTCTGGGCAGAAAGGCTGTCAACCACATCTCCCAGTTCGGTGAGTGAGCCTGTGGGGATGGGCAGTGTCACTTCTCCACTTTGTCTCATGCAGACTGGGGTCTGGGTTTTATTTGACCAGTCCCCTTCCAAGGGATTGTTGGGTAGGAACAAATCAGCACTCTCATGAAAAAAGCAGGAACCTTGGGTCCTCCTGCCATGCTTCCTACCTTTTGGCCAAGAACGGGAACACTTGACCATGGCCCCTAATGACAGCATAAGTCTGGATGAAGGCTAAAAGTCACCTCAAGGTGCTAGGTTCAGATCGACAGATGACTTACATGTCCTCCAGCTGTGGAAGAGTGGCCTGGAATGGACAGAGAAGGCTTCATGCAGGGGTGAGGCTGGGCTTTGAGGTGAGCAAACTCACAATGCAGGTGGGGTGTGTTGGGGAAGAGCAGTTGGGGAGGATGCTGAGTCTGTTCAAGCTGGGAGGCCAGGTAGAGCTATGGGAGGGAAGTTCTGGCACCCGGAGGGGAGACTTTGGAACTTTCCATATTCTACTACAGCATTTTGGTGGGGCTGATGAGGCAGAGGCATCAGCAGAGGTGCCTGGAGTCTGTGGCAGGCTACCCCATGTAGTTCAATGAAGCACGCCTTGGGCTGGCACTTACTGTGTGCCAGGTCCTGTGCTCTCTGCAGGGCTCTAAGGACAACAGGAAGCAGTCCTGACCCCTGGAAAAGGCAGATGGTTGAGGGATGAGCAGGAGCTGATGACAGAGTCCTGAATTCATCCGCCGTGCAGCTTTCAAAGTTACATCACCTTTCTGAGCCTCATGTTCTTTATCTGCTCCTGAAGATGCTAATCTTCCCTCATTTTGTAGTCGGCTTTACCTCAGCTCTAGATTACAGTTCTAGCTCCACCATGCCCTGATATGTGACCACAGGCAGTTCACCTAGCATTTGACTCCTGCTTCCCTCATGTAACAAAATGAGGAGGTTGGACCAAATGGCTCTCAAATATAAGGTTCTATAAATAACTACAAGACATGTTAAAAATGCTCTAAGAAGTACAAAGAAGAAGTGTAGGTGGACATACAAAATGACGGAGACATTAATTTTGCCTGGGACAATGAGGGAGGTGGTGTCTAAGTTGGAGACATGAGGACAGAAGGTGTTGTAATACGTGGAAATGGGGCAGAGAGGGTGGTTGATGTGCAAGCGAGAAAGAAACTGATTGGCATTGGTTAGGTAGAGCAGAAGGAAGCATGCACTTAGGACAATAATCAGACCTTGAAGCATGGGATGGTGAGCAGTTAGTAATTGCAGCTGAGGTTGGGAAAAGGCAGATTTTGGCTAAATGTGTAAGATTTGACTTTTGTGCTAAGGGATGTAGGGCTCATTCTGTAGGCAGTGAGGAAGGCATCTGGCTATTTTCTGGTCACAAAGTCAGAGATCTGTCTGCTGTCCCTCCATACCTGGTGTGTGGAAATGCCCTCATCTGCTTTGTGGCCTGTGGTAGAGTGAGGTTGCTGGCTCCTGCCCACTTCTAGTGTAGCTTCCTCCCGTGCTGAGAATCTGGAGCAGGGCTGGGCTCTCTGTGCTTTATCAACTATATGGCTGCACAAACAAGGGCTTGCCACAGTCGGTCCCCCCGCCACCGCCCGCCCAGGACAGTGCCATGGGCATTTCTTTTGCTGCCGGAATTTGGAGACTTGATATCAGGCCTTGGAAAATTTTAAATTTATAATCGATGATTTACTTCTTTCTGGCCAATCTGTTTATTTCAGGAACTGATAAGATTTTTTGTTACTTTTAGCCAGATGCTTGCAACTGGCTTTGATAGCCAATGAAAGGAAATGCCTTTGGCTCACTATGTTTTCAGAAAGTTTCTTCTCTCTACAAAGCCTCACCTGCTGCGAGGAATGAAGGAGGATCCCAGTTCTCCCATAGGAGGAAGGGGAGGGGTCTCTGCAGCAGATTCTTCTCTGGGCACGCACATTTCCTTTTTTCTTTTCTCATGAGGAAGAACATTTTCTAGATATAGATACTGACTTGAAGGAGTTCCTGATGAGCCAGTATTTTGAGTTCTTTGGAATAATATGTGTCCTGTATGTGGGAGTTTCTTTCAAACATATCCTTGGGACCAGGATTCAGCATCTGGGAGAATGCTATCCTCCACGGTTTCTCTTGAGGGCCCTCACTTCTGGGGATGGAGAATGACCTTTGCTATTCCTTTTTTGTGGCCTGTTGTCAGGATGTTACGCCAGGAGCTGAGCCCCCCAGCCTTCACCACCTTTACCTCCTGCATCCAGCCTTCCCCTCCATCCTCCTGGACCTGGCGAACACCACAGGCACAGTGACAGCATCAGAGGGTAAGTCCCCAGACCAGGGGAAAGTGTGCACTGTGGTATGTGCAGGTGTCCTGGCCTGCTGATGGACAGTGGTATGCTTTGCAAGTAGCAGCGTAGCTTTTCCCCTCATGTCCCTGGAGCTGGTGGAGGGCATTGATGGAGCCCTCTGTCTTGTAGGGGTGCCAGGCTACCTGGACAGAGCACGTCCTCGGAAGACAGTGAAAGCTGAGGGCTTGACGTGTGTGGTTATGCTCACAGCCTCACTCAGCAGACATATACTGAGTCTCAGCTACGTGCCACGTGGTGCCAGGGGCTGGCAAGACAAATAAAACTAGCTTCCCCACCCTCTAGGGGTTCAGGATTTGGATTAGCAGGTAGAATAGGTTTTTTCAGGGCATTGGTTTAGTGATTTTTTTTTCTTTTTGGAATAGTAAACATGCATGTTGTTTAGAAGTTGGAGTCAAGAAAAACCAAAGAAGAAAAAAAATTTCCCCTAATCTGAGCCCCATAACACAGTTGACATTGGGAACTGTCCTACTTTTTATGTCTAAGTAATACTGTGACTCAAAATTGAGGTCATGTATGGGAGACCCTTAACTCTGGAAACCAGCGTCTCGGAAACTCAGCCATTCCTGCTTGCTAGTGTTGTCTGTCTGCTGGTCTCCACACAGATGCCTGGCTTGGGATCTACTCTTCCTGCTTGGGGTAGGGAAGGGGAAGATGAGTCTGGCCACGTCTCCTTTATGTCTTTCTAAACTCTCTTGCCACTTGTGGACTTGCTCTCTACTTACGAGCTCCTTTGCCTTGAGCTGGAGCAGGCTTGTGACTCTCCAGATGTCAGAATGCACTAGGAGGAATGGGTGGGGTGGACTTGCGGGCATGCCTGTCACTGCCTGTGTGTGTCCACTGGCGTGGGAGCGCAGTGAGTGTCAGTTTGCGAAACCCTGTGAGCTCTTTTGCAATATTAAGTGAACTCTTTTGCAATATTAGCATAAGACGTTATTCAGGGAACATTAAATAATGGTAATTAAGACTCCTCAGACCATTGTTATTGCAATTATTATTTTGGGGATTTTGTTTTTTGAGTGATTATGCAACCCAAGCTGGTCTTGAACTACCAATCCTCCTGCCTCAGCCTCCCAAGTGCTAGGATTGCAGGTGTGCTCTACCATACCCAGCTCTTCCACTACTATTTTAAAGATGAGACAGAATCACCCATGGCTAGATAAATAGCTTATGTGACTGTGTACTGACAGTCTAGGAATTCTTGGGCTTTCTAGTCTGTTGGGTCCAACTTTTCTACCAAATGCTTACCCTAGTGGACATGTTTTCTCATTTACTGAATTGAGTCTTTCTTGGAAATAACTTCAGAGAAGTAAAGGTACAAACTCGGAGAAGAATATGCTGCTTTGCTGGCATGCCATCTCTCACCTTTTTGCCCTGCTGCGTGGCTCACTGCCTGGCATTTGTTGGTTGCTCAGTTAATTTCTTTTTCCTTTTTATTTTTTTTTTGGTGGTATCAGGATTTGAACTCAGGGCCTCATGCTTGTTAGGCAGGTGTCCTGCCACTTGAGCCACTCCACCAGCCCTTTTTTACTTTGGATATTTTTTGTGATAGGGTCTCAAGAACTGTTTGCCCAGGCTGGCTTCAAATTGTGATCCCCCTGACCTCTGCCTCCTAAGTAGCTAAGATTACAGTGCCCGGCTCAGTGAATTTCTTGTATGAATTAATGAGTAGATGAATGACTGAGTATGTTGCTGACCTAAACCCCTGTCCTGTTGACACAAGTCATCTAGCCTTGTTAACTGTTCCTGCTTTTGTCCTTCCTCAGTTGGGATCAACGACCTGTGGAAAGATGCCTTTTATGTCACCAGGTCAACAGGGCCCAGCGATGATGGGCATCGCATACCCCTGGTAGTCAGCAAGCTCAGTCTGCGGTGGGCACTGATGGAGGGTCAAATGGTCCAGCTGAAGGAAACCACCCCCACAATTGGCCGTGGGGAGCTGCGAAGATTCCTCTCTAGGATAAAGTTTGTTGATTCTCCCTACCAGGTGAGTAGCTTTTGAGATATTTGGTTACTCTTTTGGGCTTAGGACATGCACTATGACTCTGGCTTTGTTCCTTAGAGTATAGGGAGAGGGAGAGTTTTTTTTGAGTAGATGAATGAAGCGGTTGTTTGGGACACCAGCTCCTAGTGAGCTACCTGACTGTGAAGAAATGGTTCTCAGTTCATTGTGTTTGGCTGGAAATGATACCATCCCCTTTAGGGGAATTTGGCTTATGGGTTTTGTCATAACAATGACTGAGGGGTGGATCCTATTGGTATTTTCTATGTAAGAGTTAGTGATGGGCACATCATGGAGGGCTTGCAGACTTATATACATCAGAGGATTATCTTGCTGAATGGGCTGCCCCTCCCTCTAAGAAATACTTTGACCCAGAGTTGAAGAGCTTATCCTAGAAGAAGACAGAGTCACTGGGCCCTTCCAGAGTGGGGAGAAGTTCTCATAAGCTATTGGGGCTGAGCAAAAGGACCAGAAAACGGAGGAATATTCTGACCTTTGTTTCCTCCAATTTCTTTGACAATCTCTATTGTGAAAAAATCGTCACTATACTTCTCCCTTTTCCCACAGATGTAGTCTGATGGAACCTTCAGTTTTAGAAGAAGCAAGCAGAACGGGTCCCTCTCTCCTGTCAGTGTAAAATCAGTTCTTCAGAGAGAAGATGACTTCAGTCTCATTTTGTACCTCCATGTGAAGGCTTGTGGGAGCTTTGATCACAGCTTGCTCTCCTTGGCTGGGATAACTCTCTACCTGTCCAACCCCTGCATTTACCCCCTCTAGGAACTCTGTGTGGATAGTTTGGAAATGTGAATCTTATAGGTATTTTATTTTTTTGTATGTCTAATTTATAAACTCTTTCTGGGAAGTCCAGTGAAACCTATGACTAGGAAGTAATTTGTTTTGTGTTATATCATGTACGTGTCTCTTTTAGCTTGTGAAATTATTTTTCAGATATCTGAAGCTTCAGGGATCCCATTTCTTGACCACCTGAAATATACCTGGCTTGGTCATCTTGCTTCTTCCAGACAGTCTACCTCGATTTTGAGGGTCACTCATCATTGTCTCCTTGTTCTCATGTGTACTGTGGCTACTTCCCAACTGTGGACAGTTGCTGTGGAAGACTGAGTCCTCTACTACCATTTCATCTCTTTCTTTTCTGGGCTTTCCCTCAGTATTTAGTAAGTGGCCATAAGAGCCAGCATGTTCCTATCACAGAGGAGCAAGGGAAATAGTTTTGGTGACCCTTCTCTGACCAGGTCCATGTGTCATGTCTGTCGTATGTAGCTCTGATGGCTCTACAGCCATGACCAGGGCCTTGCCCTATTGCATCTCCCTGCTTTCTCAGCACCTTGTCCTCTAGAGCATCCTTCTCCCCTCCCCTTCCCTTGCCTTTTCTTTTATTCAGGGATATGTTTTTGGACTTTTCTACTTGAGTCCGGTATGCAACCATTTTGTCCTGAAGCTCTTCTTTGTAGAGCCTTTGAAGCATTGTATTCTGAGGCAATTCTTTTGTGAATACTCTAGCTTTTATAATGATTACATTCTTTAGAATTATATCTAATACTTATGCCCCCCTTCTTCTATATAAATTTGATACCTCTATTGAGTTCAAATCTTCTAAACTTCTAAGTTATTGTCTACATGGCAGAAAAATCCGATGGCAGCTGAAGGACAAAAGCTTTTCTTCTTGAGAAATTTTCATTTGTCTTCCTTGAGTGGAAATCAGGTTTTCTCCTTACTTGAGCTTATGTCTTTTTAGCTTGTATTAATAAAGGTATTCTAGAAAATTATGAGTCCAGATTTAAAGGGATATCTCTTAATTGCCCTGGTGGGTGTTATGACATAATGGGAGGTTGGTAGCAATCGATCCAAGCAGGCATGCGGTGTGGCCTGCTGATTGGCCTTACCAGCTTTGTTGGCACCTCTGCCTTAAGACCCCTAAAGTGCTTTTGACACTTTGTAAGTCACATGTGGGTTCAGCTTGACTTTGGGGAAAAGGGAAGATACCCCAGAGTATAGAGATATTTCCAGATTCATTTCTAGGGGTTTGAATTTACTTGGGTAGAAGGGCCTAAAATATAGTTTGGTTTAGTATAGATTTCTCAGGTCTAATTTGTAGTGGACCAAACCCCCAAATGGGTGGGGGTCCTCTGACTTCTGAGGTAGCCAGTCATAACCTGTTCTCTATTGTGTTCAGGCTTTCTGGGAAGCCAGCCAGTGTAGGAAGGAGTAAAATGCATAGTTGCTTATTGAAGATCTGTTTTGGTGGGATTGTTTTGGGCAGAAAGCTGTCTCTCTCATGGTGAATCTCAGACACAGATAAGAGGAAGCTAGAAAAAAGCAATGTCACTGAATTCTTGTATTTTGGGAACTAACTAAGCATAACTTCCCCTTGCTATATGTTTGAATCTCTCCTTGCTAAACATAGTGAAAGCTCTAGGCTTGCTTTCTCTTGCAGCTAGTATAGAAAGGCAGCTGAGGATTGAGGAAGCTTCATCTGACCTGTGTGGTGCTGGTCTCTTGTCAAATGCATCCCAAAACTTCCTTCTCCTTGCAAGTGGCCACCCACCCAGATGTCCAAGATAGGGCGTCTCCTTTTTCCACCCACCCCCAACATGGGGTTGCAGCAAAACCAACCTGACTACACTTAGACGTAGTAATGCTATCTGCAAATGCAAGGGTCTTCCCCACATCCCGAGTCTTTCCTCTTTCCTTCCCTTACAAACCTTCCCCTCTGCCTTAGACGAGATCCTCACCAACCCTGGGAGAGATGTCACCCAACCCTGGGAATGTGAATTGCTATCTGTGTTGCCTACATTAAAGCTCCACCAGCTAGCCTACTGTCAGAAAGCACTACTTAAAATGTGAGCTGTTATAGAACAAATAAATGCTATATACAGGAATGGATGCGTGTGTCTTTCTTCTTGCTATCAGGGGTGGTAAATTTCCCCTTTATGGGAAAGAGAAAAGGTGAGTGGATAGATGGCCTCTTTGTGGAGAGGGGATGAGCAGGTGGGCATCCCGAGAGGAGCCTCTGCCCAGTCCTGCCTTGTTCACTGTAGAAGCCACTATTCTAGTCTAAGGATCACAACCCATATGAATAGCCTTAGGAGGCCATTTCTAGAAGTGAACCTAATCCTGTGGGCTGTAGAGCTGCCATACTACCCTCTTAATGGCTTCTAGGGTAATATTTAATAAATTCTTTTATTGGTACCTGCTATGTGTCCACAGAGTACTAATAGGCAGTGTGGAGGGCACCTGTCTATCCTATTGAGGCACTCGAGTAGTGGTGCTTGCTTTTTCTGATGTGTGACTTATAGGAACATTCTGGTGTGCCATGGAAAGTTGAGCCACAGACAAGCTGCTGCTAACTTGCTTACCTCCTTTTCTCCAATTTACAGGTGGATAACCCTTATAAGACCCTAAAAGGCAAGAGGTATATTTTACTCCTCTTTTTCTCTGTTGCTTAGTCCAGAACCTGGCACATGAGCAATCAGTAAAGGGAAGAAGGAGACTTTGGATGCATGATGTCATGGAGGATGGACACGGAGGAGACTTGTACTTATTCTTAGCCTCTAAAAACCATACTCAAGAGACAGACTTAGGCTTAAGCAGATGTTGTTAACAAGCAAATGCGTAAGATGGGGCTCAGCCTGCTCTCCAAACCCTTTTAACTCCTAACACTGCTCTTCTTCTACAGATGACCCCACCACTTCTTTTAGCTCCTGGATGGTCCCTTGTTGAAACCCCTTGTCCTGTATCAACGAGTAGAAGTCAATGCCTTCAGAGACAGAGCGAATGGGCTGATTGTGGTACTGGTGACAGGTGATTAAAGGTCCCCCTGGGTGGGATGCATATGACAGCTGCTGAAGGAAGCAGTGGTGGTGATGCACCAGGCAACTTGGGTTTGAGTTGAAGCTCTTGCCATGTCTGCACTTGAACTCCAGCACTGTCTTGGTGTATGTGTTGAAGGTAGTAACAGCAGACGCCATGCAGCAGGTGAAGGAAAGCCAGGCTGTGCTAGAAACAAAGACAAAGAAGGGATAATTAGAGTCTTTTTTTTTCTTGAAAGAAAAATGCTAGGTCCCTTCCTACTGTAGACTTAGGAGCCTGAGTGTGCTGTCTTCTTCCATGTCCAGTTAAAGAACCATGGGCTTAATTTGGTCTACCTTGATAGGGTATGCTCTGAACATTTTGCAGTCAAAGAGAATGACATAGTACTAAAACCAGGCGAGGTATTTAATGGGTTTATTTTCATTGAGTTTGTTGTCAGTGTTATGTTCTTTTATACTTGGTGTACCTATTGTGTGTGTGTATAATTGTGTAATTTGGGCTTCTGTTTTACTCTCATAAAATCTCCAAGAATGCACAGATCTATAGTAAACCAGTGCATATGGTGGGCCTGGCCTGATGTGTTCCCTCTGTCTCTTCTTCTCTTTTCTTATCCTAGCACACACAACACTGCCAAAGATTTTCCTTTGCTTAGATGCTGGGAAGAATCCTCCCTCATCTCTGTTTTGAATGTAGCTGTCTTAGGCTCCTCAAAGTTGAGCCTTTGAGAATCATTCAGGAAAACATTTACCACACACCTAGAGGTGTTACACTCTGTACAGGTAGAGTTTTCTTGTTATGGAAACAGTGTTCTTGGCAAAAGCTAGTTTACAATAGAAGTTGGAGATTAAGAGAAGCTGGATAGAATCAAGAAATAAAAAAAGATATCAAGGAACTACATCAAACATATGCAAAAAACTTGGAAGCCAACTCCTAAATCCCCCTGTCATTCTGGGAAACCCCAGAAGCAGGAAGTTTTGTGAGGTTAGGGGGATGTCATGAGGCCAAATGATGGTTAAATCCAAGCCATAGCTGGGACTCTATTTTCCTATTTTCTGCCTCTGACAAACTAAGCAGTAAATTTAGGCTGGGATGCTTCTGATGTGAGTTTTGCAGACTGAACTCCACAGTTTAGTGCCAAGAATGGCTTGAAGTAGACAAAAGACAAGAAACAACAGGTCAGGAAAATGAGCTACAGCTCATGAGATAGACTAGACTCTTGAATCAAAGGGCACATATTATACCACGAGAGAAGAGGGTAGTTCAGATTGGACAGGGCTCCATATGCTGTTTACGCTCTTAGCACTTAATCCAGCACAGTCGGTGTGAGTCCAAGTGGGCAGAGTTTGACTTGAATGTGTGTTTTGTCAGGGTTGCCTCTTCTGTTTTTTTAAGAGAAACCTAAAATGACCGACCCCTTAGTTCTTTATGAGTTAGAGGAGGCGTAGGGAAGTTTTATGGATAGCAGTTTAGTAGAATAAGACTGCAGATAGGACGAAGAAGTTACTTTTGGAATTAGGGAGTTTAAATTGGATAGAAGAGAATTCAGTTGAAAAACATTAATTCAGTTGGATGGACGGAATTCAATCCAAATTTCAAGACTAATTATTCTGTTTCTCTAGTACCTTGAATCATGAAAATATAAAATATATATATATCATCATTTCCATAAGCCATATAAAGCCAGTCCCATTTCTCAAGGACAACATAGACATCAGGCAAAGAAGGAATTGCTACAGCACATGGGCAAAACTGAACCAAGACACAGTCTTGCAAAGCAAGCCAGAGGAATGCTCTCTGTGCCCCCTCCAATGGTGGGGGAATAGATGTCCCAGTGATCCAGCCCTATATGTTTGGAAGGCAGGACAATATGGGAATGAGTATCTAGCTAAGACGATTTGAGGATGACAGGCACTTACTAGAAAGCCCAGCCATAATTCCAAGCATGAGGTCTCCAGTCTTCTGGGCCCAAGTTGGCAGTTGCCTGGAAGACTTGTGAATACATCATGTGGGCCACCATCCCCAGAATGCCTAACAGAGGAAAGAGGAGGGCAGAGCCCTTAGAGAAGGGCTGCCATTGTCGCCATTGTTGTCACTGGAAGACCATTTTGGGGCCCTCATTTTGCAGCAGCCACAGCCTGGGTATCCCTTACCTTGATGCCTTGACGCATTTCCTGGGAGACTCACCTTCTGGAATGCCTGTTTTTGCAGTGGTTACCCCAAGCTTTAGGGTAAGAGCTACAGAAAAAGCCCTGTTCTCAGGGCCACAGCTTCCTTTGACATCTTTTCACCCTTTTTTCTTCCTCTTCAATCTGCATCTCTTTCTTTACCCAACAGAGATGGTATTGAAAAACTGTGTGCATGTCACAACTGAAAAGTAAACCCCACAAGGAGTTTTACATACTAACAAAGCTTGCATGTAAAGGAACCAGAGGTAAACCATTTTGTGATGAACACAATGACCCAACACACAATTTCATATACTTTCAATTTAAAATGAAAGATAACTTGTAATGCACCTCCTACCTCCATTCTTACACTGCCTTCGAACTCCTCTCTCCTCCTCAAGGACTAAGATCCTCCACCTGGTGCTTCAAAGGAAGCCAAAGATGTCTCTCTCCTGTTCTGGGGGTCACTCACCTGATAGGACAGAGGAAATGGCAGCGAAGGCGCTCAGCTTGAGGCTGCAGCCAGGGTTCCCGGGGAGCAGCAAGTCCATCAGGAGCAGGAGGAAGCTGATGAACTCAAGTCCGATGTAGGCGATTTGGGCTCCCAGTGATAACCAGAGGACCTCTGTCAGAAACACAGGAAGGAGGAGCCCCACTCTGACAGTTAAACACAATCAACAGCGAGTATGGGATCCCGTTAGAAGTCAGAAGCCCAGGGCAGAGGAGAGAATGAGACAAAGCTGAATGAAACCAGTTACTTCCTTTCCAGTTCATCCATGTCTCCCTGCAGCTCCCCCTCTGCAGGACCCAACGTGTAAACTCGAGGGCCTATAAATACTTTTAAGGGATATTTTCAGGAAATGTTATCACCTCATTTTCATAAATACTGCAGGGACACCACTTGGCTAGTGGTGTCTTTCTTGTTCCTTATTTAATTTTTGGATAATATTTTGTTTGCTTTCGCCTCTCTTTCCTTCCTCCTCCCTTCACTTCTTTCCTTTTATTTTACTGCTCTGCCAAAAAAAAAAAAAAAATTGGAGGAGAGAAAAGAAAACTCTAAGCTTTTCCAGCATGGTTTCTTGGTAGCAAGAGCGGGCAGGAGCTGTGGGTAGTTTTTCTATTTGTGTTCCTGTTTTCAAAGTCAGCCCCAGGAGGAATTTGTGTCACCCTTGGGGCTCAGAAGAAGAGGAAAGCAGGAGGTGACAGCGCAGTTTAGATCTAGAGGGGCCCCGTTAATGGAAACTAAATTCTGCATGGAACACATACTTGCCACAAGCCCCAAGGGGAGGTGAGGAGGAAAGCCTTCTCCATTAACCACTCCCCTCCAAATCGGAGAGTGGGGTGACATGAGCCTCGCAACGTGGTAAATTCCAGCAGTCCTTTCTCACCTCTCTCGGCTGGTGGTGCGAGTTCAATGAAGCTTCGGCACTTCTCCCCTGGAACATGCAAGGGACAACATCAGGGGGTGCTGCCTTGGACGACTGGGGTGAAGCCTTCCCATCCTACACTCAGGGCTGCTCTGTTTGCTCAGACACAGGCCTTTCTCCTTTTAAATTGCAACAATAATCCTTGGAATGAGAAAACACTGGTGGTGGGGGGGCTGGGGAGGCGGATCGCTAGGCTTTAGCAGATCCATGGTGATTCTTTCATCTCATCAAGGAGAAAATCAAGGTTCCTAGAAATGAAGTTATTTGGATAAGGTCACAACTGGGCAGAGCTACAGCCTTTTCTATAATACTCTCTCCTTGTTTTGTTTCTAACAGCAATTCTAGCTCCCTAAGAATGTAAATTCTTCTCCTAATGTGAAAGTCTTAAGGTTAATGCTATTTTAAACCAGCAGGTCTACTGAAGAAAGAATAGGTGAAGAGCCAGAAGGATTTCTGACCTTATTAAAGGGACTGTGGAAAGGGGCAGTTACCAGGGTAGAAGGTGCCAAGCAGGGGCAGGATGGGGACCTGAAGCCCATCTGGGTTTGGGGTAGTATGGCCCTTCCTACTGCTGCCTCAGGTCTAAACTGTCTTGACTGGCTTCCTTACCTGCATAAGATCCCTTGTCCCCTGGGGAAAATAAAACAAACTACTCCAGCAGATGGGGTGAGGGGCCTACCTGATTCTTCCATGATTTCCTCACAGGATAGCCACATGCCACTCCGGAAGGTAAGGAAGGAGAAGCGGTCATCCCCAGCCTCCCAGCTGTATTGCACCACCTCCTGGGCTGATGCGTTGATGACATCCCCATCCAAGGGCATTGGCATGTCAAAGCACCTGGCTGCCAGACCTTTCCCGCACAGGGGCTTGGGCACCTTCTGTGTGCCCACAAACCAGTTGCTGCTGAGCAGGGATGCTGTTGAGAGGCTGAGTGATAGCACGCTGAGGACGGCAGACATGAAGGTGCGTTGGCCAGAGAAGCCCTTCGGGAGTTCCATCTGCAACACACAAAAACAAGTGAAGGAACTGGAACTGGAGAGCCTCATTTCAGAGGCTCCTTTGACACATGGACACATTTCCCTTTCCTTCAAAGCCAATAGGCAGAGCCAGGAGCCCTGTGGAAGCTGAGCTTTGGGAGTGGTCTGGAGCTGGCACCATAGTGATGGTGCTCATTTAAGTTGGACCTTGTGTGGGTCCTACAGAAAAGTGGTGATTTGTGTAGGTCAAATAGTGACAGGGCTGGACACTGGGCAGAAGAAGGGGTAAAGGGAACCCACCAGATCCAGTTATCCCTAAATATAATGAGGTTGCAGAAGTCAGAGTGAATTAAGCTTATAGTTCTACTTCAAAAGGTGAGAACTGCATCTACCCGGCCTCTAGCTGGCAAACCCCTTGTGGAAGACCCCAGAAAGATCCCACCTATAGCATGTGTTCTGAGCAGCAGTGATGGATTTATCTTCCACCACTAACAAGAGCTCTTGGATGGGCGGAGACAGCAAGAGAGTGTAAGCATGGATCTATAAACGCTCCTGTTGGCCAACCTCGGTCTACTGAAATCCTCCTGAGGGGCTCATCCTCAGCCCCATGCCATGTGCTAAGGAAGATAGGCTCACCAGTATCTTTCACAGAAAGCAGGGCTTGGAAGGGCTTCAGGACTCTTGGTTTTTGCCTTCTTCATGATACTCATGCACTTAACTGTGGTCGTGTTTTATCTTCCCTCTGAGCATTCACATTACCTGAGTCAGCAACTTGTCTTTCTCATTTTTATCTTCCCACAGCAGGTGGCACAATATTTAGCATGTCACACAGTATTGAACTTTGTAAAGTAAGGATGACCTGAGTTAGCATCAGCATTGGCCAGAATGTGATTAAGCCATGAAGGCTATTGTCAATGGGGTTTAAGGAAACAGAGGAGGACTTAACACCTACTCCTCTTTATGGCAATAGTTTTGGTTTGTCTTCATTGAAAAGTATTAGGCACTTCCTTGCTGAGCTACTGGTTACTGTAACAAAGTGAGTTATTGGTGTTAGGAAGCAGATGGAAGCTTTGGAACCTTGATAAATATGGCAGTGAACCAAGTGGTGTGGGGCTATTGGAACCCCTGAAGGGGAGAGAACACTTGTGTGTGCTGAGAGAGGTATTCATATACACCCAGTGTTGGTCCACTGCCACTGAGACCACAGAATCTCAAATAGGAGGTGGCTGCATGGTGCCATGGAGTTGGATACCAAGTGTCATGGTCATGAAGCCATGGGAGGAGTGCCTGTAGCCGAGCTCCTGGTGAATGGAGGGACACAATGAATGTCAGCAGAAACAACTGTGGCCCATGTGACTCTGCCTGGAGCCCCTGCTTTCCTTGCCATTTTCAGCCTATGAAAAGGGTGACCTAAAAAATGACCAATATTAAACTTTTCAACTTGAGTGATGGTTCAGAGCTGGATTGAATTTGATTTAGAAAAATAATTATGATAGGATTTGTGTTATATCCATGGGTATGGAACAGAAAAGAAGCCTATGCTTAGTTGCTGACAGCTGGTGCTTAGAGTAAACCATCTTGAGCCTTCCAGGGATCCTTCCAATCAGAAGTCATCAGACCTAAATCTGCTTAGCTTAAGAGATGTAAATAAAACCACAACCAAATGGACAGGCCTATAAATCTGCCTCTCTCTGTACCCCCAGCTTAACAGTTTTTACATTTAATTGGTTTTGCTCAGAACCATAACCATTTGTTCTTTAGAATTTCCAGGGACTAACCCAGTGCATACCACAGACAAAGTGCTTATTATTTATGGTAGTAACAAAGACACAAGGTGGGGAAGTATATAAAAACCAAACTACTAGACATAGGTGGAAATGGCTTCTGGATTGTAATATACTAATGTTGGTTTCAAAAAAAAAAAGCAGTCAATAAATTAACTCTACTGAGAAGACTGGGTGACTTTGTCTGAGGACAATAAAAATTATAGCATTGAGGAAGAAAGATCTTACATTTCCAGATCCTGTTGTTACATGCTACTCAGTCCCCCCAAGGGAATGTTCACACACTTTTAGTTATGAAAATCCCATTGGCTTTCATCATTGTTCTGTTACTACAAATTATTTTTTTCTTATTTTTCTGCCAGTTGCTCAGATAGGAAATACACTTTCAGGCAAAATATCTTCATTACTCATTGTGTGTAGAGACTGAACACAGGATTTAAGCAGTTCCAAATTTGTGACCTCAGGGTTCATTTTCAATAACTATTTTCTTATTTGGTTTGGAAATTTGTCTACTATCACAGATTTTAGCACTCAATCCATTGCAACTTACACATATTTGTAAGCTTTTTTCCAGGTTACCTAGAAATAAAGATAATGAACCCCATACGTGCTACACTTACCTTGTGGCATCAAGGCAGCAACCAAGCAAGGAGAGGCAATTTGAGAACAAAGGATGAACGGGGACTAGCTCAAAGAGGCTCCTTTCAGGAGTGTCCACGAAGGACAGACACAAACAAGGATCCCCTTCACAAATTACTTTCTTCTTCTTTTTCTCCTTCTCCTTCTTTTGATTTTTTTGAGACAGGGCCTCAATATATAGCCCAAACTGACCTGGAACTCACTATGTAGTTCAGGGTGTCTTTAAACTTTCTCCCCTCCTGCTTCTGCCTCCTGAAAGCTAGGATCACAGGCACGCACCTCCAAGCCCTGTTTACAAATTATCTTCTTGGCAGTTGAATGAACATCTCACTCATGAGCCTTCTCAAGAATTATCTTAACACCTATGTCTCACCCTTGTCACATGCCTTTCTCTCTAGGATTCAGATATCTCTTGAATTAGAAAAGCTAATCTCATTTTGCAGAAGTTCCTCAAAATGACTATGGAGAAATAATGCCATAAGAAAAACTATCTTCACATACGCTGACAGATCCCATGCCGATGTGACACTGCTCTCTAGAAAGGGAACAGGGTGGCTTAGATCCTTAGGAAGTACATAGGTGCCAATATGTCAGTAATCCTTCCATCAATATACATGAACAGAAACACTCAGCATAGGATGGTCAGGTGCAAATAAATCTGAGCAATAAAGGGAGGGAAGCTGGTTACCTTGGCCATGGTCAGCGTCATGCAGCCTCTCTACTGGAAGGATGGACAAATGCTACCTGTATCACAAGTCCCTTTGATTTAATGTAGCAAGAATGAAAGCTGCCTTCCCACCCCTCCCCTTCTCGCTCATATTTTTGGAGTGCCTCTTGATTAAATGTTGCTGCCTTACAGTGAACATGGGCATGTAACAATTGCCAATGCAATCAAGCCCAGCTGTTCCAGGAGATTACACCAGAGAGCTTGCCAAACAGGGATCTGGAATTAAGCACAAAGAGGCAGGGATCTGCTTCTGCACAGGGGACTTTCTGTAAAAAAGAAAGTGATTAAGTTTCTATTTGTCACCCCCAAGGGTAACTGGTATGAATGGTCTGGGATGGATTTTATAGCAATGCACAAAATATTATGGGATCTCTTAGCTTTTTCCAACCATTGGTGGAAGCCCTAGTCCTTGCAATGCCAGGGCCTCAGAGTGCCTTGGACACGGAATCGCTTCCTTCCACAGGTGTTTTCTGCCTTCTAGTTAGTATCCTTAACTGGGATGATTAAGGACCTTTGTTGCCATGGAATGCTAAAAATGAGTGTTGGGTGGAAATGAGGGCAAGGATGTGGATGGAGGAGGACTAGAGGTAAAGTCCAGAGTCATATTGCTAAGACTACGCACCATCTCTCTTCCAACTTTCAGGCAAATGAATGAACTTTTATTTTCTAAGAAAGAGTCTCCAAAACTTTAAAAAAAGCAATCCATCCAAATAAGAAATGGATTGTATTTATCTTCTCACCACCTGTCACTAGAAATATGAGTTATTCTTTCTGTCCCCCAAATTGTATAAATTCCCTATCACTTTTTTCCTGGTGAATGACTTCCCAAGATTAGTGTTAAAAATGCCATTCATTCTTTGAAAATGTTTCTTTTCTCTCTAAGACAGACAGTTCTGTCTTGTCACACTGTGCTTCTCTCTCAATCCTTTCCACATTCCATTGTAATTATTTGTCTTGATTGTGAATTCCTCTTCTATTTCACAGCAGTAATTCTGTTTGACCTTGAGAAATTTGGAAAAGATGAAAATTTCTGGCCTCACCCTAAGATTCCATAGTAGTTTTGGGCTAGTGCCCAGAATCAATAATTCTAGAAGGTTTTTAATATATACCCAGGGAATGAGTGTAGAATGGCACGTGTTGACTCATTTTGGACTTACATTTAACAAAACCCTCTGTAATATCCTGCCCTGCCCTTTCCTCTCTTATGAATTGGTCACTAAGTCATGCTTTTCTCAGTCTACATTTATGCAGTTTAGGGCGTTAAAGACAGGCTTTCCTTAACCTGAGTGCTGGAATTAGTCTCTGTCTAGCCAAATGAGTCTCTTTGGATCTTAATTTTGTTACTCAATGTGTTCTCTATTCTTCCCAGTCCACACACATGATTAATGTCCCACAGCTTTGCCTTATGCATCATCCAAATGGCTCTCTATTCATTGTGACACAATTCACTGCTTTGAGAGGATTTTGTAGTCAATATTTTGCTTTTATTAGCCTGCTGGTTTCCTGGCTACAGAGTTTCTTGCCGACATTAGGTGGCGCTGTCCCCTCATTTTTTTCTCCTCTATTCCATACTTCCACCAGTTAGCAAAATGTGGGTGAAGGTGGCTGTCTTTTCCTTCCTTTGGCCTCCTCCCCACATACGAATCTATCCAGTGCCACGTGTCAGCCTTATGGAATTCAGGGCTTAGCGTGAACTTTGGGGGCACCCAGCCACTCCCTGGAGGACATCTTGTAGGATTATTTCCTGTAACACATTTTTTTTTTTTTGTGGCCAGTTCCACTTTTCAGTGACTCAAATACTTCCCATGGGAAATTCAACTCCACAGTATCAGAAAATACAGTTACCCAATGTTTCCTGATGAGTTTTGTGCACATTTTTCTCTCCTTAATTGTATTGTCATTCTCCCTCCACCCTAGAACAGTGAACAATTCTTTTCCCTTCTCTGTGCTTACACCCTTTGAATACTTGCAGACACTTCTCATATCCCGCCTGAGTCACTGTTTGGCATGGCCTTATGTCTTCGGTTTTTATTGCTTCTGCTCATAAACCGCACCCCCTATGCCTTAATAGCCTGAGTTTGCCTTCTCCAGGGAAAAGGGGAAGGGAGGAGCAGAATCTTGAGTGTGTTTTACATGGGGAGGCTCAGAGATGGTTCTAGAGCCAAGCTAAGGAAACTTCAGCTCTCCGTCCTCCACTTAATTGGTTTGCTCCCAAGACCCTGTTGCCTAGTTTAAACTTGTAATCTTGTATTACTTTTCTTAAAAAGAGATCCAAAATCTAAATATTTAGGCTTCCACAAGGCCTAGACCTGAGACTGTGCATTTTATATGGGTGTTTGGCTGGTTAACTGCTGGATATGACCAGTCTTACCTCATTTGGGCCCCAAATGCCTAATTTCTTCTTTTTAACAAAACATAAGTTTCTGTGTCTGGTCACAAAATTCAGAGCCCTGTGTTCTGTTCATTTGCGTTCATTGTAATTTGGGCATACTAATATTCTTTGCTTCCCTTTCCTCTCTCAGAACAGAAAAAAGTAATTGCTAGTTAATGTGACAAATATAATTGGGCTACACTCAGAAACTCATGACTCAACATGGACACAAAGATTCCACAGCTCCAAAAATTGTGTGACTTTGGAGTGTTGGCCTGTTACCATTGCAGCCATTTGCATAAACCTGGCTATTTATGACATCATAAAGCCAAGGGCTGGGACTAACCTACATTTGCTCAATCGCTGCTCCCTGTACTGTCCCAAACCACTTTTACTAGACAAAGAAAAATGATGAGGTTTTGGGACACCTAGCCATACTTTGTAGACAGAAATTCAATTTATTATGGGGACTACTCTGTAGGTTAAAGAGTAAAATGATAGGTAGGAAAGCTGAACCAGAGTTGGTCATATACTTTGTTGAAGCCTGGGGCTAAAGGATCCAGTGGTCCCCCCCCTTTCATCCATCTTGTAGTTCGTCCTTCCTGGCAGAAGTTTCTCTGTTCTCCCAGGAGCCAGAATTCCGACCCATGCCCCTGTTAACTAACTCTTTTCTGTTTGTTACTCAATAGACAAAAGGCTGGACTGGAATTTAAATGATTGGGCTGTCACTGGCTCTGATGGACATGGTCCTGCTCTCTGCTCCTGCATCCCTGTTCTCTGACCTCACACAGTTTGACTTGAAGTTGCTGGATATAGTAGTAGTCATGTTTAGGTCGTTGTTGATCCTCATTGCCTAGCATTGTTTTAACACTCATGAATGAACCAGTGAGGTTTGTAACACCAACAAGTTTCATGAATACAGTTAGAAAACCTGTGGATGAAGATGTGCACAAAGCTGTGTGTCCAGAGAGCCTTCTCTTGTCTAGGCACTAACCAGGCCTGACCCTGCTTACCTTCCAAGATCAGAGGAGTCCAATAGACTTCTGTTGCTAAAGCAGATGGGATATGCTTCCCAATTCACACACACAAAGGGATGGAAAGCTACAAAAGGGGTCCATAGGTCCACAGGCACACCCTCCGCCCTTTTTCAGCAAACACATTTTCTGCCAATACATTTCCTCTCACCTGTGGGAACATTTCTGCTTTTCCATGAGCAACGTTCAGAAAACAGCAATGCTCTCATGAACGACTATTATCTTTAGTTCACAGAGACCAGAGGACACACAGTTTGCTAAAAAGCTAGTGACAAATTGGAAATGTTATGTCCTTTTCCAAGCTGGGTGCTACCCTGCTGATTAGAGTCCTTGTGGAGGCTCTATCTAGAACCTTTTGAGATTTGCCAGCTCTAATTACAATTTTTACTTTAATGTGGGTCCTTGGACTCCTTTACCCAGGAAGGTAAGGGAGGTCTTCACACAGAGGTATTTTGACCTCTGCCGCCCAGGAGGGAAGGAACAGTGACCTTCAAAATCACCTTCCTGTATAAAAATGTTCACACCACCATAGGACACTTAGCAATGCCATCTACCAGTCAGTCTGAAGCTAATTATTCTCATCCGCGCCCGGGGTAAGGGCAGACAGAACCCCAGTGTTCGAACAGTATAAAGACCCTAGTCTTCCCACTGTGGGTCCGGAGTGCTGGGAACCCTTCCACTCGTGTTCAATTAGGGGGAGGGGCTCTCTTTTCCCTTTCCGCTTTTTAATGGAATTGTTTGAGGACTTTTGCTAATACAGTAATTTCCAGGAGAGGAAGCCGCCTTTCTTCCATGCCCCAAGCAGCTGGAGTGAATCAGGGGGGCAGCCACATCTGCACTTCCTGTGGGGCAATCGCTCACGAGCGGGTGACAGCGCTTGCAGGGCCGCCTGGGGCTGGGGGTGGGATCTGGGGCTGGGGGTGGGGATCTCGGAGACCTCGAGAGGAATGGCCAGGGCGCAGGCCCTTGCATTTCCATTTCCCCATAACCCCTCTGATCCCCTGCCTCGGCTTTGCTGGATGAGCCACACTGCTCCCCGCGTTTACTAGGGCTCCCTGGTTGCCTGGCAACTGGCGCGGTTGCCATAGCGACGCGCGCGCGCAGGTTTTGAATTGTTGCGCAGGCCGGGCGCTGGCGCGTCCCGCCCTTTGGGGCTTCCAGGCCGGGTGCGGCCGGGCCGCACTGTTTCTTCCTCTCGCTGTTCCTGGGGCGGGTGGGAACTGAGGCCCCGAGGGAGGGAGGGAGGGAGGGAAGAGACTGGGCCACCCAGGCCTCTCGCCCAGGGGTGAGATCTGCAGGTTGCTGTGGACTCCAATGTCTGGCATTGCGCTGCCCACTGCTTCCCCTAAAGATGGGGGATTCGGGCCTGTTCCAAAGGAAGGGTGTGTCTTTGTCTCTTTTCGTAGTTCTAAGGAGGTGGGTCCTTAGTCCATGAACTCTGACTCCACGACTGGACTGATTTTTGATCAAGTCAAAATTACCCTTTGGGTAATTTACCCCTTGGGTAAATGAGGGGAAGGCGATGTCCTCTTCCAGAGTCAGCTATAAATATCAAATGACCCCCCCCCGCACTGCCACCATGCAGGCACCGAGTCAA